CACTCAGGCGCTGGGGTGGCTGCCGGGGGGTAGGGAGCCCGCTGTGAGGAGTGGCTCGGCCGAGGAGATCACGGTGCCTGCAGTATGTGGGGTGGGGTACATCTGTGGGAGTTGCAGTGGGGCCGGAGGTGTCCCGTGGGGTGGCCAGTCATGTTTCATGGGAGCAGGGGAGGATGCTCTTCTGTGGTATTGATGAAGGCGATGCAGGGTCTGGGATGGAGACTGGGTGCAGGAGGGAGCTTGGGGTACAGGATTGGGGTGTGGGGTCTGGGAGGGAGCGTGGGTGCAGAGAGGGGATTGTGACTTGGGACAGGAGACTGGGGTGCAGGGTCTGGGAAAGGGCGTGGGTGCAGGGGAGGATTCTGACCTGGAGGAGGGGTGCAGGGTCCGGGAAAGGGCGTGGGTGCAGGGGAGGATTCTGACCTGGAGGAGGGGTGCAGGGTCCGGGAAAGGGCGTGGGTGCAGGGGAGGATTCTGACCTGGAGAGGAGAGGTGCAGGGTCCGGGAAAGGGCGTGGGTGCAGGGGAGGATTCTGACCTGGAGGAGGGGTGCAGGGTCCGGGAAAGGGCGTGGGTGCAGGGGAGGATTCTGACCTGGAGGAGGGGTGCAGGGTCCGGGAAAGGGCGTGTGGGAGGGGGGGGGAGAGGGGGGGGGTGCAAGGTCTGGGAGGGCGTTGTGAACTGGAGGAGGGGTGCAGGAGCAAGGGTGCAGAGAGGTTGGGTTACATGGGGTAGGGTTAGGGAGCTTGGGGTACAGGATTGGGGTGTGGGGTCTGGGAGGGAGCGTGGGTGCAGAGAGGGGATAGGAGGTGGGGATTGGGGTGTGGGGTCTGGGTGGGAATTAGGGAGCGGGGTCAGGGCAGGAGGTGGGGATTGGGGTGTGGGGTCTGGGTGGGAATTAGGGAGCGGGGTCAGGGCAGGAGGTGGGGATTGGGGTGTGGGGTCTGGGTGGGAATTAGGGAGTGGGGTCAGGGCAGGAGGTGGGGATTGGGGTGTGGGGTCTGGGTGGGAATTAGGGAGCGGGGTCAGGGCAGGAGGTGGGGATTGGGGTGTGGGGTCTGGGTGGGAATTAGGGAGCGGGGTCAGGGCAGGAGGTGGGGATTGGGGTGTGGGGTCTGGGTGGGAATTAGGGAG